TGTTGAATAACTGGGATACTTCCTCTCTCAATTGTCGGCAATCCTCTATTCTGAGGTCGTGAGTGCTATGATATTTACATATTAAGTTGGGATCTCTTTGGGGATGGATCAGACTGTATAGGTCGAGGCCACTTGGTGTCTTTGATGCGTCCGATGGCAGACACGATAGCAGCAACATCGATGTTGAAGTTGTACTCCGATAAACTTAGCGCTTCCTTAGACCCGATGGGCCTGTCGAAACCGTTTTTGCTCATGAGTCCCCGGTTATTTTGACCTCGATCGCTTCTCCTTTCACTTCTCACAGGGTTTCATCGAGATCTGTTACCCCTACGATCACCGTTGTATGGTTGATACCGGTCTCTACTTGACCATAGTTCATGATCAATGTCTCTTTTGGATTTGTCACTAGCTCAGACGGGATAAACAGACCCGGAAGAGGCCTAAGCTGATCATCTTCTACCCTAATTTTTGATTGGTACCTGTTATGCACATCGGCCCAAGTTATAACCATATATTCTACCAGATTTTGCTTCATCTGCTGCGAAGCCAATGAGCTTCGAGCATTGAGTCCTTGGGTGAAGACCTGAACGGCCTAATCGTCTGCCACTGGCGGCAGGTCCATCCGTTCCATTTGAAACCTTGACACGAACTCCTTGAGCATCTCGTTATCTCTTTGCTTTACCTTGAAAAGGTCCGACTTACTGGTATCGACCTTGATTGGCTCCGGCATGCACTTTTACAAAAAGCATCTACAAGCATAGCAAGTGAGTCAATAGAATTGGGGGAAAAGTTGTGATACCATATCATATCTCCTTTTGACATGGTCTCCCTGAACTTTTTCAGCAGGACATATTCGATCTCATCATCTTCCAAGTAGTTCCCCTTGATAGCGCACGTGTACGCGGTCACATGTTCATTTGGATCAGTAGTTCCGTTGTACTTAGGAATTTTAGGCATGCGAAACTTCTTCGGGATCGACTTCGGAGCCGCGCTCGGATGAAATGGTTTTTGAACAAACTTTTTGGAGTCTAGGCCTTTCAATATCGGAGGTGCTTCGAAGATCTGGTTGACCCTGGAGTTGTAGGTCTCCACCTTCTTGTCGTTGGCTTCAATCTTCTTTTCTCCCGTTTCTACCCGTTTTGTCAATTCCTCAAGCATCTTTATTATCTCAGGGTTGGTCCCGGGTCAGCTTCATTTGGCCTATTTGTGGTTGGTTTATTTCTGAGAGTGTTTTCCCGGGACGGTTCGGGCTCAACTCTACTGGGAGCGCGACTTTGGTTTTGTATTTAGGTTGTCGATCAAACTCCCCCGCGGCAAACTGTTTACCCTAAAAATCGGATAACAATTAAATTTATAAGTGATTTTAAGGATATGCGGATTAATTTAATACAAAATGATAAATTAAGTTAAAATGGACAAGTAAAGATACAGTAAATTCAAACCACGCGAGGAGGATGATTCCAGCCTTGGTGAAGCATTCACCCTCGATCGTGGCTCACCGTGGACAATTTGATGAACGAGAGAAAAAGCTTACAATAACAGTGAAGATAGTAGTATATTGCTTTGGAATACGTGTTACTATGTGTCTAATAAATTATCAGACCTCCTTTATATAGTAGGGGAATCCTACTCTAAGTACAACTCTATAAAAGGTAAAAAAATCTTATGTTTAACTGATTGCCGGTTCTTCATTGATACATGTCGAGATCCACGATGTGATATTCGGCCGGTCGCAGATGTTACGGCCTTCTGTTGGTCGTGCTTGGTTATTTGACAAAATCCTCCGAAGTCTTTCAAGATTTGGATCCATCCCGAATCATGACACCGATATTCTCGAAGGCAGACAACGTACCCCCGGATTCTGACTCGATGAGACCTTTGCTTCGATTCCGATCCCTCAAAATCATATCTCGAGCTCATTTTACCCTATTGGAGATCGGAGTGTATTATGAGCTCGGTTTTTACCCGTATACACGATGAGAAAAGAGTAAAACGCATTAATTGAAATGAAGAGAGTGTCAAATTGGAATGGTGCAAATTTATTTAAGAACTTCAAAAATCACTAGTAAGTGCATAATATTAGGTCTATTTTGAGCATAAACAATTAAACATAGTTGTTCTTTGGTAGGGAGCGTTCTCCGAATGGGGCCCTATGCGACGTGAATTCGGGTACCGGACAATAAGTAAAAAACCAAAAAAAGAGAATTGGGCGAAAAGGACAAAGAGCGCCACCGATTTGATATTTGAAAGGATGAGTGGGTGGAGGGGGCCAGTAATTGCTTCCCACGCTACCCCGACATTCGCAATTATACTGTCACCTTCTTCTCTTCTTCTTCCCAAATCCCTAAATTTACAATTATTCCACTTTTCCCCATGCGTTTTCTTGGTGCTCAAGGATTCCCCAACATCCACTATTCCATCTCCTATAAATAAGTTTATATAAATTGAAAAAGATAGAGTATAAATATTAAATGTAAAACCAAGTTTAAAATAGTCTGTTCTAAAATTTATAAACCATAAGGTTGGCCTATTGTAAAGGGATTTGGATTAGCACTAATATTGATCAATGAGGCAGTAGATTTAGAAAGTCAAGACGTAAAGGGAGAAAAAAATTGCCAGGCTCGGTATTTGAAGTTTGAACAGAGTTGTATTATTGAACTGAATTTCAACAGCAGCTGCTGTCGCCTGAGAAAAGTGACCCATGTGAATGGAAGAATATGAGAAAAAGAACTCGATAGTATATGTTTCAATTTAGCAGCGTAAAATGGACATTATAAACTAAAATCATTTACTGGCTTTTTAGTTGAACGTGCGTAAGGCCGTTTACCTTTTGTTGCATGTACGATAAACATAAGTTAAAATGTGTCGAGTCTGTTGACTTTGTAACTTTATAGACATTAAAACACGTTACCTTATTTATTTGTTAGCTCAAACTTTTATTTGTAAATGATGTACACCACAAGGCAAAATTTACCTATAATAATAAGTAAATTTTAATATTAAGTACGATACGATAACCTTAAAAACAAAGTGCAAATATGTCTTAATTATAAGTTACATTATATTGTTAGTTGTCAAATTTTTATAGTATATTTTATGTTTACACTTTGGAAGAGTCTTGAAGCAACAATAACGTTGTCTTCATGTGACGGCTTATTGGTCACATGTTCGAAAAATCAATCATTGATTATATTACATCCCTTGTGGCCAGAGGCGGATGTAGTGTACTACGTACGGGTTTATCTGAACCCATAACTTTCGATGCGGAGTAAAAATTTATATGTAAAAATTTATTAAAATTATAAAAATAGTTAATATGAACCCATATCTTTAAAAATAATAATGTGTTCAATGTTAAAAACCTTAAAATTGAACCTATAACATTGATCTGTCTCTGCTTGCGGCGACCCTTTTCTCATACTCTGCATAAATACGAGATATTTTATGCACCAACATGCTTTTTTGATGTTTACATAACTCCAATTATTTCTGTATACCATATGAGAATACCACACCATTTTTTCTTTTGCATAGTTTTGTCAAAACAAGATAAAGGAGAACCTAACATTTTATTAAGTGAAGCTTATGAAAAGTTGCATGTGGAAATAGTGGTATACATACATAAAAAATGCGCCGTTAACATCAAAACAATCGGACGTCATATGAGAGCACTAATGAATGGTGCGCGCTATAGAATATATACGCACCATGAGTACTACTACTATTATGAAAAGCTTTTAGCATTTTAATGTCAAAAGTTGAAATACTAGATTGCTAGAAGTGAAATAAGTAGCTACACACCGCTGATTCTGGAAAATCAGTCAACTAATTTTCAGCATGTTCTAAAAGTTTTAATCATAATCTTGGTTATGATTTCGAAAACAACTTTAAAATTGAATAGATGACAAAATAACAGTAGCTCGTGCTTCATTCCATAATTTTCCATTGTTTGTGTAACCAATAATGACCAGCACAACACTATTAAAAAAGTGGAGTATTTGAATTTAAGATTAAACTGGAGAGACTATCCTATAGCGATTATAATCATTTAAAATGTTAGACACTATTTATTGATTAATGCGTCTCATAAAGTTATTTAATTAACTTGATATAAATAACGGATGCAATTAAATCTCTACATATATTTATTTGACTAAACATTCTATACATAACAGGAAAATAGAAAGGTTATTGGATAGTACAATTAGAATTTTTGAGTTGTGACTTTTTGGGCACTAATTTCCTAATTAAGACTTTTTTATACGGGTTCATTTTGTTTAGAGTTTAGACATAAGGTTTCGAACACTGAAGTATTAATTTTGACAGAGTTTACTTTATATTTATAAAGGTACTAAACTTCTGTTTGGCCATAGAATTTGGAAACTGATTTCAAAATTTATTTTTAAATATCCGTTTGTTTATAGATTGTAACTATTTTTTGATAAAGTTTCAAAATAAAATTTTTAAATTTCAAAAACAACTCTAGAGCAGTTTTAAAGTTTTCTATTCACAAAATTTTAAATTTTTTTCAAGTAAAATATATGTCCAAATACAATTTTAACTTTTTAAAATTATTTTTTATTTCATCTTAAAAAGTTCATAGTACCGTTTGGACATAAGAAATTTTTTTCTTTTTTACAAAAAATTTTCACTTTTTTTCGAAATCAACGTTTGTTCATAAAATTTTCAATTTTCACTTGAAGATACATTTTAGAAATTTTCAAAAATTTAAAAATTCCAAAAAATTATTTTTCAAAATTTTCACTCAGATCACTCACAAACCTTCAAAAACAACCCAAAATAATATTCATATCTAAACACAACTCTAAATTTCAAATACCATTTTCACCTAAAAATAATTTCACCCTATTTTAGAATTTTACCATTCTTGTGTCCAAACGCCCACTAAGAGTGTTGCAACCAAAAAAACACAAAGGAGAAAGGTGTTGTGTAATTCCAAAAAGCTAACCATCCGTATATAAGAATCCCACTATTTCACGCCAAAACAAAGATTTCTCTTTTCCTCTCTTTACTCTTTTAGCTCTCTCTCTCTCAAAAATCAAATCTTTGTCTTCTTTCAAAGTACTCAGTTCCTTAAAAGAACCCACTCTTTATTCACCTGAAACCCCAACAAAAAGCCATTAAAAAAGAACAGCTTAGAGAACAAATGTCTTCAGAAGTTGGCGACAGGCGTCCGGCTAGACTGCCGGCGCCGGCAAACGGAACACGACCATCGGAACCGGAGAACTTGCCATGTCCACGCTGTGATTCTACGAACACAAAATTCTGCTACTACAACAACTATAATCTTTCTCAACCTCGTCACTTTTGTAAGTCCTGTCGCCGTTATTGGACACGTGGCGGCACCTTACGTAACATCCCCGTGGGTGGTGGCACACGGAAGAACTCCTCCCACAAACGCCCCCGCAATACCACCTCCGTTACAGCTCAAGAATCAGTAAATGCCACCCCTATCACAATGATCGGGTCGGGTCAATCATCCGGGTCGGGTTCGGTTTCATTCATGGGTTGTGAAGTGAACCTCAACGAGTCAGTGCAAGAAGCTGGAGGGGCAACTAATGGGACGTTTACTTCGTTGTTGACAGGTCCAGTGGGTGGTGGGTTTGTGCCATTAGGTGGATTTGGGCTTGGGCTAGGTGGGTTTGGGCTTGGGAATCTTGATTGGCCCATGGAGCAGGTCGGCGGAGGGAATGGCGGCGGCGGAGACGGTGGTGAGAATATGAAGTGGCAGCTAAGTAGTGGTGAGATTGAAGGTGGCGGCGGAGGAATAGGTGAGGATGATTGTTTTGGTAATTGGCCTGATCTTGCTATTTCTGCACCGGGGACCAGTCTTAAATGAAGTACTTACAAAGTACTGAGTAGAAATATTATACTTTAAGAGTTTCATGGAAGAAATCGAAAAAAAGAGGTGTTTGTTCTCTTTTGCTTTTATCTTTTATTTTTCTTTTTTCAACTTAAATGGTCTGTCTTTTTGCAAGTTTTTGGGTGCATGGATTGTTTTGGCTGTAGTAGTATGTGAATGATTCACAAAGGAATGGAAAAGCAAAGCTATTTTGCTTGGAGAATTAGTGTTTTTGGTTTTTTTTTTGTAAATTTATCTTGGGGGTCTTCCTTTTTTAACAGAAATAGGTCCAACTTCATGAAATGAAAAATATTATTTTCGTTGTTATTTTCATGAATGTTTTACTGTCCATATTATTTTGTTGTTTCCTATGCTTTCTAGTTTGTTTCTTCCGTTGTTTCTAATGTTGCAAAAGGTGCAGTACTTTTGGGGATTTTACGTTTCTTTCTTTTCTTCCCATTGGCTTTGATAGGGTCCTCCATTTTGCTTTCTTATACTCCCTCCGTTCCTTTCCATGAACCCATTTGATTGAGTATGAAGTTTAAGTAAAGAGGGAAAATTTTTGAACTTGTAGGTAAAATAAAGCATATATATTTTGTGTGGTTATAAATTATTATAGAAAGATAAAAAAAATTCAAATAAGAAAAGAAGTTATTCTTTTTTACACGAATTAAAAAGGAAATAGGTTCACATAAATTAAAACAGAGAGGGAGATTAACCTACAATAATTTGTTCCTATAATTGTGGTTTACTAGGGCGAAAAAGAGGGGCCTGGTTACTGGTTAGGATCCGAGAATCTCGAAAAGCCTCTTTTTTCCAGTTTTATAGGGAGGGGCCTGCCCCTTCCTTAGACCACTGTCACACAATTGTCTTAATACTCCTGATTATATGACATTATCTTTAATGTGCAGGAAGAAAATGTACATGTCTTGTATTTCATTGTTTGTACATGTCTTGTATTCACTGTCTGCGATAAACATCGAATGCATATAAACTAGTAGTATCATTTTTCATGTCAGCAACAACCAGAAAACTGATAGAAATCTAGGATTTCGTCCCGTAGGCATGTATCTTTTCTGGTTGATTCACACCCTCCTCTATTTTCCTAAGATAATACACGCTATATTTGGTATCTGTTTCCTAGAATCCTGATTTATAAATAAAAAATGTAAAGTCTTCATAGATAACTGGTATTAATACATAAATCATTCAAGAGATAATAACCTAGACTCATATATTACTCTTGACATGGAGTTTGGACGAGCGAGGTCTTATATCGTGTCTATTATGTTGAATTTATTTATTAGGAGTTGGAAACTGACCATTTATGATATTCGTGGGTAAGATTGATCGTGGTTTTACTAAGAATTGTAGGACTAAATGAATGCCACCAATCAAAGCCTAGGACAGGAAGAACATGGTTTATTAATACTATTGAGAAAAAGCCTAGGACGGCACAGCTTGCTTTTAATGAAGTGTCAATGCAACTATATATGCAAGTGTCAGCGCCGAGGTTGATGCGCACCACCGACCGTGGCCGATATCATAGAATTTGATTCCCTATCCCAAGGGTTCTAAGGAATTTGCACCTTTTGCATGTCGCCTATATATCCACGTTTTCTTCTTTCCTACCGCTAAATAATATTTTTTAACAGTCTTTTGTTTTGATATTTTTCGTAAAGTATTGTTACATATATATTTTAAGGTAACAGAAAAAAATTAATTTTAAAGAAAACTAGGTCATTATAATAAAATATTGTTATAGGGGATATATGTTATAATGTGTACTAGTGACAAGCTTTATGTACGTTGTTTAGCAATTGCCTTCGACGCTACATGTCATAGCTAAGTAGCCTTGTCGAGCAGGCATGCATGCTGTGTCGTCCATGTTCGTGCAAACTCTCCTACAACATACATTGAACAAGACCTCGATTGGCAGCATACATTCCTTGGCATATAAGGCGTTTAAACGACTTGATCACTTCAAGGAATTGGTTTACTTGTTATTGTCTATAAATAGACGCTTCAACGTCTTAACAAAATTATTCTAATCGTAATTGGAGCTCATGTTAAAAAATTTATTTGATTTACTGAGTTCGAATATATGTTTTTCTACTTATTTTATAAATTTTTACTATACGTGGACCCTGCCCGGGTTCTGTAAGTGATTGCAACGATTTGTTTGTTTAATGCAAACATAACGTTTGATGAAAAACTAAAATCATCTATTCATCTGAAAACCCTTCTTCAATTACTGCAATTGACACATTAAACCGCTTTCTCAAAGAAAGACCATATGTGCATCAACAAGTTGAAAACCTAAAATCATCCTGCAAACGATACAGTTGCTACAAATGCGGTTTTGGAGTGATTTCATAAACATACAACTAGTATGAATTTCATTTGTAAGCCAAGTGGCTTTATGCATAATCTTCAAATTGTAGCTTTACCAATTTGTGAAAGAAATTGCATCATAATACCAAACAAAAGGTTGTAATCACATATTCTCACTTTGATACCAAATTCCAAAGGTAGCAAATCAAGCACATGAAAATGACCTCAAAGTTTGTACCTATTGTTTTATACATATTCCTAAACACCACCCCCCCACCCAAAATCCCCAACCAATAAACACCCTTCTTTTTTTCACTTCTCCTCAAGGCTATAATAGAAATACACATTACAACTACTAGCAAATAGAATTTTACCAAAGCTTCTTATTCATCTCTTAGCTGGGCTTAAAGAACCTGAGTTTAAGTCCATTATTGACCATACTCCAAATTCCTCCAATAGAAAAAGCCAAGCTAAAAGCAACTCCTAACCATCCAAGGATCCAGTTGAAATACCAGTTAAAGCTGTACTTTGTAGGCTTCTTTATTAGAACCCACATGAAGCAAGGATAAGCAAATGTTACCGGAAGTGTAAGCCCTCCTAACAACCCTGCAAGACTTGACAGGAACGGAAGCGCCACTCCAATAAAGAACGAAACGAATCCAAAAAATATTCTGAAACCGGAACGGACCCATATTGAGCATGGTCGGTTGGTACGGCTGGTGTAGCCTGCTTCAAAACTGTCGAATGCTGGCATTGAGTATATCTGGAAGCTACTTAAACAGTTGAATACGACTAAGAGAAATGTCATGGCAAGAAGTCCTCTCGGAATATCATGAATGTGAAAGGCGTATAGAGCACTTAACATTCCTCCCGATGGCATCTGTAAGGAATTAAGTACACGATCGAATCAGAAATAATTAAAGAAAACATGTATAGACTGCGCAGAAGGAGGAGTACACCATTCTACCAACGATATATTGGGCCATGCAGACATACAATAATAAAAATGTCATTGTGGACGCAAACAAATACAATAAACTAATTCTATAGATCAAGGAAGGAGGGAATTGTAACAAAAATGTAATTCTTTGGAAAAAGCAGAATGATAGCTACACTTACAAGGTTTCCATAAGCCCAGAAGCCTCCAATGGCAATAGGGAACAGGCACATGGCTATGAAGAAATACGCAACTTTTGCTCCCTTCCACATTGGCACATGAGCTGGGTGCTTGAAAGTTGACGGCATTGTTGCCTGCAAAATGACATAAAGTTGCCGTATTTGCAATTGTAAGTTGGAAATGTTTCGTTAAACTAGTTACAGAAACAGAATGTGTTTGCACATGCCGGGAGAAGAGTGAGAATATTTACCTGAATTTCAAGAACTAAATTGTGCCCTCTAAAAGTAAATGCTATAATACCCATGGCGTTCAGGACAGAAAAGAGAGAAGCTGTGTAGGAAGGCAATGAAATGGGTTCATATGAAATCGAAGGTGGTCTTGGTTGGCTTACAGAGAGGACCCATGCCATAGTGGCGTATGTGATGGCTGTCACTGCTCCAACGAGGGAGAGTCCAGCAATGGAGTTCAGGTTTGGGAGTTGGGATAGAACAATGCAGAGGGAAGTGAAAACCAAATACCACTCCACAGTTGTTAAAGGATTTGAGGAACACAGCGGACCGCAAACAATTTGAAAGAACAACTTCATGGTTTCACCTCCTACGAGAATCAAAGCTGTCGCAGTCCCTGCAGATAGGTAAACAGTAGGGAAGAGAGCAAGCCAAACACCCAGTCTTTCACCTGAAATGCAAGTGAATACGATGTTAGCAAGCAAAGTGAACTATGTTCATTTCCTTTCCCTTAATGACAAGTAGGATTTATATAACTCTATCAACTTTCCATGCATCTTACTGGTTAGCAATAATTAAGTACTCCTCGCCTTTCAATTTATATACAGTGTTTGACTAGAGCCTAGGCACCTGATTTTAAGATATTCATTTTCACTTATGTATTGTACTAGTTCCAGTGGAAAAAAATAGTAAATAATAGTTGGAAAATAGTGATAAATATTTTTGACAAGTCACAAAGTTGAAAGAAAGGGAGTTATATGTGTCTGGTAAGTGGGCTTTGAGCAAGTTAAAGAGGATAATAAATGAAATTAAAGGTAACACAGAAAGGGATAAGACCAGTAACTTTGAAAAGCTCTTTTTATCTTTTCTTGCAAGTAACTTTGAACATGGCAGCCGGGTGCACCAAGCTCCCGCTATGCGCGGGATCCGGGGAAGGTCCGGACCACAAGGGTCTATTATACACAGCCTTACCCTGCATTTCTGCAAGAGGTTGTTTCCACGGCTTGAACTCGTGACCTCCTGGTCTTTATCAGTTACGCCAAGGCTCCCCTTCGCAAGTAACTTTGAACTGTTAGCTGAAATTCTATAACTTGATTTTCTTACCAAATGCTGCTTGCGCTAGTTCCACGTATCTGTTGTATCTCTTCCCAGGAACTGCTTCATGCAGCTGAACCAAGATCCATAAAGTATAGAGTTGCCAGAAATAAGCTATAGTTAAGGAAATTATTCCCCAACTCCTGTATTCAGAAGGAAATATTACTGTGTCAATTCTCTGAAGAATATTATAGGTAAACTTTATTAGCGCATCAATTATTTGACACTATGAATTCCTAGCTCATTCACCAAATGCTCCTATCAGAAGACTAGCATTTAAGAGTATCTGGTATATTCCATTTAAGGACATTGAATGGAAGCTCAGTTATTTATAGTCATACTTCAGAGCAAGTTACCAAAAATAAAGTTACACTTCAGAGAATAGAAATGAAAATTAGTATCAAATTACAACAGAGTTCGGATTAGGTGGAAATTTCAATAGTCAAATATGTCATCCTTCAGTGAAGCTTACTGAATAAGGGCAGCAAATTCCACTTGGAAGTTCCAGTAGCATTTACAGATAGTAGATTTTATGTCAAAGTGGTAGGTCAAAA